GCTGGTTGTGACCTATAAACCTTACATGGCATACTGTAAATCCTAGGTATTTGAGAGACTGCTTATTGATAAAATACAAAAACAGAAAATTAAACAAAATTTAAAATATGAAAGAAAAAGTGCAATGAAGAAAAACAGAAATTAGAAAAAACAAGCAAATTCCAATCCTCTATATAGCAGTTCCAAACAAGCTTATTGTCTTCCCCTCCTTGAACAATACATACATACATACATACATACATACATACATACATACATACATACATACATACATACATACATACGTTATATTTGTGCTGATAAATAAATAAAGGGAGACTAGTATAGATCTATTTCAAGCTATTTAGCTCTCATCAGCTAGCCATACCCTTACTGGGATTCGAACCTGTGCTGTATTGCATCTTAGGCAGACGAGATGCAATACAGCACAGGTTCGAATCCCAGTAAGGGTATGGCTAGCTGATGAGAGCTAAATAGCTTGAAATAGATCTATACTAGTCTCCCTTTATTTATTTATCAGCACAAATATAACATATGTATGTATGTATGTATGTATGTATGTATGTATGTATGTATGTATGTATGTATGTATGTATATTCATTCCTTGTTTGACATTGTTAGATTCTTTTTTTTTTACTTTTTATATCCATCATATATAAACTGTCATATTTAGGCTGGGTTTTTTAAAACGGAAAAACAGAGAAACCAAATTGAATTAGTGTCACAGAAAGGAATAATAGACTAGCAAATATGTGAATTGAAAACTTGAATAATCCTGCCATTCCTTATATTAAATTTTCCTGCAAGTGTATAACTACAATAAACACATAATTCTTAATTATTACACTAATTATGCAGAAACAAAATAGGTTTACTCAAAAAGGTAGGTTTTTTAAATTATTCTCTGTTGCAGCTGGGATGTCTGAGGAGGTTTTTATTACTGCACACAGTATGAGTTTGAATGCATGATTTATAATATACAGCTGTTAATTCTTAATTAAGGTACATTATAATGGCAAGCAGATAAATTTCAGTGTTTTTATGGAACCTGAATATTGGAGAATGGTATAATGTGGCTGTAATCTCAGCCTTGCCTATAAATTCATAATTATACTTAGATGTGCAAAATTTCAGTATCACTTATAGACAGTCCTCAATTTGCATCTATTTATTTAGCGATTGAAGTTATTACAGCACTGAAAATGTACAAATAGTCTTCACACTTACAATGGTCATAGCACCCTCATAGTCACAGGATCAAAATTTGAGTATTTGGCAATTGGCATCTATTTATACATTGGTTGAAGTATCATAGGATTGCCATTTGTATGAGCCAAGGAGCCACAGTGGCGCAGTGGTTAGAGTGCGGTACTACAGGCTACTTCTGCTGATGGCTGACTGCAATTTGGCAGTTCAAATTTCACCAGACTCAAGGTTGCTCAGCCTTCCATCCTTCTAAGATGGGTAAAATGAGGACCCAGATTGTTGGGGGGGGCAATAGGCTGACTCTGTAAACCGCTGAGAGAGAGCTTTAAAGCACTGTAAAGCAGTATATAAGTCTAAGTGCTATTGCTATTAACAACCTTCCCAGCTGGCTTCCAATAAGCAAAGCCAATAGGGGAAGTGGAATTTGCTTAATGACTCTGTAATTCACTTAACAACTACAGTGATTCTCTTAATAACAGTGACATGAAAGGTCATAAAATTGGGCACAACTCACTTACAACTGTCTTGCTTAGCAAGATAAAATCTCATCCCAGTTGTTGTTGTAAATCAAGGATTACCTGTATTCAAGCTTTAGGTTTGAAGAAGGATTTAATTCACAAAATCAAAGCACTGGAATGTGAGCCATGAAATAATCCTCTACTAATTTGGGAATCCAAATTTAAAATCCCCAACTGGAGTTGTCAAACCTATAGGGGAAGGAAGTCCATCCTCTTTCTGGGAATTATTTCAGATCTTTCTGTTAGGAAGATTTTTTTTCTATTAAGATCTTCCTTCATGTTACTCATGACAATTAATTTAGAATGATAAACAACCAGCCTTGAATTGGCATTTAAATAGTATCTAAGTGCACTTTCATCTCTTCTCATAGTCCTTTAATCTCTCTTCACCAAACTTAATTTCTGGATACCTGATCATCAACCTTTTCTGAACCTATTCCGGTTTGTTTGACTTCTTCAGTGGGAGAAAATACTGTAAAGAATAGAAATTATTTACAATTGTTATCTTACTGCCAGTAATAATTGATCTATTGATTAGCGGAATCTGTTTTTATTAATTTATTTCTCAAAATAAAAATGTAGATTTTTATTTAGGAATAATCCCCAAAAGAAAACTATTCAATATTGGTGTTCTGTCTTAAACTTCATAGCTAAATTTTTAACGTTATCTTTGCCTATTTTTTAAAATGATAGTTTATTGCACTGGGCTTTTCTTTTTCTAAGAAAAACAGTTTATAAATAAAATATATATTCCCTCCCCCCAAATAAATAATGCAATTAAGTAAACAAAATAATACTTGACCAAAACATGACAAAATGCATTTCATGAACAATTATGCAATGCTACAGACAGGCTTTAAAGACAGGTGGGTAATGCTATGGAGGTGTTGTAAGTTACAAGTGTGGAAATGACTTCTCCAGTGTATAAAACCTGTAAATTAAAAGAAACCAGGTGGGAACTTTATGAATTTCTCATGTATGTGTGTTTTTCATAATTTGACTATCCGAACTAATAGACCCAAGGATAGAAGAATTTGATGACTTATTCTCTTGTTTCTTAATACTATTTTTGGAAGGTAACAGACCCACAGTTATAATTTATGGGTAGAAGTTTCATTACCTGCCTGATGTTCTTTGATCACTATAAAAGATTTGATGGAGTGGTTCAGTTGATTATCTGATGAGATCAGATAGGTACTTTTTTCCAAAGTTATTTCATCTGATGATTTAGGGTCCATCATTGTCTTACCATCCTTTCTATAGTAAAAAAAAAAACTTTTTTTTTTAAAAGTATCTGCACTGGTAGACCTCTTAATGCTTTACTTTGGTTACAAATTACAATCGAACCTTGTTATTCTCTGGCAAACTATTTGGAAGTTTCACCTTTCAATGGTGAAGAAAAGAGAAGGCGTAAATAACAATACTGATAAATACAGTTACTATTTTTTGTTACACTTTATTCTTTAAAAAGTTAATATTTATTGCTGCAAAAGTAGGATGTAAATATTATATTGCAGTTTTTAACTTTTATTCCCCCTTCCCCAGGTGAATATGGTCATGTCACTTCTAGGAATGTTCTGTCCAACTTTATTTGATGTCATCAGCAGCCTTGAAAATTATCATCCCCGAATCGCTTTACGGTGGCAGCTGGGACGCATCTTCGCTCTTTTTCTGGGCAACTTGTACACCTTCATTATTGCTCTCATGGATGAAATCAATCTCAAGGCAAGTATTTTGCTTTTAATATTTTCAGCTTCCTAGAAAGAGGTTCCAGTCTGATGTTTTGAATTTCAGAAGTTAGAAAGATACATTTATTAATGTCACATCGAGACCAATTGAATGTTAGTTAAGGCTTATTTGCTTTAATTGCAACTCATTCAGACCAAATTAAGTTGGAATACAAATATCATACCTTAGATTTTGAGTTGCTAAAGAGGAAATAATTCTTATTGTCTGAGGGGCATATATTTGCTTTTGCATTCAAATATTTATAAAAGTAATTTAAACATACATTATATTTCTAGACAGCTGATCTTAATCGTAGCAAAAATAGCAGTCTTTTGATGCCTTATCATGTGCTTTCTGGAACCAAACTCTGTTTGTGAAATATTATTCTCAGCTACAGTATAATGTATGCATCATTTCCTGGATATAGGTGAAATGTAATTTCGCATTTCATTTCCCCAAGATTTCACTGCTTATAGTTCCCATGTTTCCAGTAAACAATATATCTATACCTGGTTTAACTCAAAACAGTGGTCAGACACCAGACTTAGTCAGAGCAGTTACAATGTGATTCTTAACCATCACTCCAAATTGCCTCTCCTTTCTATGTTATAGTCAGTTTTCCCCCCACACTGCCTCTGAATTATATTAATTAATAGAATTTGTGATCCAGGGGAAAAACGGGTCTTCTCTTTTTAGCTGGAAGAAGAGAAGATTGTAAAACAGAACATGACAATCTGGCTAGCTAGTTTGTACAATGGAACCCTGCCAGAAAACATCACAACTCCCCCTGTTCAAGTCAACCCTGCAGATGTTCCCAGAGGTCCTTGTTGGGAAACCATGGTTGGTCAGGTAAAGCTGGTCTCATATTGAAATCATGTTTGTTTGCTTACCATTAGTTGCTTCTGCTGTTGTAAGTTCCTATCGCAACTCTTTCATAATGTCCCTGGTGGAATCACTTTAGGTGGTGCTGAATAGCAAGAGAAGAAAAATACAATTAGGGAGCACATTTTTTAAATTTTTTTTTATTAAACACATTAAAACATTGGACACAGTGTAACCGTCCTGGCAATGTCTTTGCCATACATACTAGAATATAAAGTTAAATATTATAACCACCATGCTAATTTACAATTGGTCTATGCAGTATTTACAAATATAAGGATATTGTATTTCTATCCATGTTGCTTTGTTCTTGTCTTATACATTTTCACTGTTATGATTTCATACATAATTCTAATCTCCATTCTATAAATCTTAGTCATTTCTTATTTTGGGTCTTTCTTTTTTGTTCCAACCATTGATAAAATTTATCCCAGATCTTATAGTATTCTGATTCGTCTTTGTTATTTAATTCTCACGTCAATTTATCCATTTCAGGACAAATCAGAATTTTCCTAAGGTGGCGCAGTGGTTAAATGCAGCACTGCAGGCTACTGCTAGATCAGCAGGTCAGCGGTTCAAATCCCACCAGGCTCAAGGTTGACTCAGCCTTCCATCCTTCCGAGGTGGGTAAAATGAGGACCCAGATTGTTGGGGGCAATATGCTGACTCTCTGTAAACCGCTTAGAGAGGCCTGAAAGGCCTATGAAGCGGTATATAAGTCTACTGCTATTGCTATCTTCTTGTGGAATTTCCCTGTTTTTCTAGTTTTGGGCAAACACCATAATATGTATTATTAAGTAGATTATCCCCTTGTTATGTTTATTGTTTATGATTCCCAAAAGAAATAGTTCTGGTTTGAATTCTAGAGGTTATCTCTATCAGCCACCTTTGAATTTTACAATTGGGAAGCATATCAATGTATTAATGTATCTAGCAAGATTAAACTGCCGTAAATGAATCCATTTTTTGAGAGTACAATGTCATAAGGAAACTGTATTCCCGAACTTTTCCGAATGAGTCTGCTTACTCCAGATCACATAACAATTTTAGTATTGTTTATTTATTTAATTTATTTATGTATTTATTTAATTTATTTATGTATTATTAATTCAATTTGATCTTGCAGTGCTACATGACTCTTTGTAAATTTCAGTGGAAACTCAGGAAATAAATAAGAAATAAATTGTAGGCACCAACAACCAAATCCACATGTGTAAGATTCAAGCTAACTACTTTACTTAAATCAAGGATGTCCAATCTTGGCCACATGTTTGGCTGGTGAATTTTGGGAGTTGAAATCCACATCCTAAAGTTGCCAAGGCTGGATATCCCTGACTTAAATAGAAAATGGGGGTGGTGGTGGTGGTGGGTGGAGACAGAAGCAAATCAGTCCAGCGAAAAAAGTAATGCTCACTTCTTTTCCTAAATAAAGACAGAAAACATTTTTTCCTTGCAGGAATTTGTGCGTTTAACAATCTCTGACACTGTGACAACCTACATCACAATTTTAATTGGGGATTTCCTAAAAGCCGTTTTTGTCAGGGTATTCAATCACTGCTGGTGTTGGGACTTGGAATATGGCTTTGTAAGTAGGAACCTTGACTTTATTTTATTTGTTTAATTTACATAGCCTTTCATCTTGCAAGCAAGTGACTGGGTGGCCAAAAACAAATTTTGCTGGGGCTGTGAAGACAAATCCTTCTGAAAGAGTTACGTATTGTGAGAACATTAGGGAAAATGTTATTGTACCTTATAGGCTGAGATAAGAGTTTTATATTGTACCATTGACTTAAAAGTGCCAGATTCATTCCTATGCTCAACAAATCCAACTTCCTTTGGTGGGAAGAATGTGAGAAAGCAAAACATTTATATTAATGTCAGTTGAAGCTCCCCCCCGCCCCCCAATCTTACATTTTTACTAGAAAAGGATTTAAGCTCAGATTGCATACGGAGATATGAATCTCATCTCAATATTTTTATTTATTTCTTTATATCCCACCTTTATTATTTTACAAATAACTCAAGGTGGCGAACATATCAAACATACCTTCCTACTCCTATTTTCCCCACAACAACAATCCTGTGAGGCTGGATTGCGCTGAGAGAGAGAGAGAGAGAGAGAGAGAGAGAGGGAGGGAG